CCATTTAAAGCTGTCAGCAGGCGCTGTGCTAGCTACACCTGATGTATTCAAAGCATATACACACCTCAGCCTCCATCAGGCTGCTCTACACCCAGCCAAACACCTCCACAAGGGCCAGGCTCAGTGAGGGGGGGGACATGTGCTGCAGATATGAGGGAGGGTTCAGGGTCACCTGATCCTAGACCCGCCCACACACCGCTCTGACCATCAACACACACACAGAGCTGTAACCAGGGGTCAGAGCTCCTGCAGGTGTGTGTACAGGTGAGCTGTTAGTTTTCAGTCATTCTTCATGAAATGCAAAGCGGTTACTGAAACAGCTGCTAACAGCTGGAGCAGAGACAGATACACTGTAACAGCATCTCTGTTTGTGACACGTTCAGATGATCCAAACAGGAAACAGCTGGAGCAGCTTCTCTGACAGTAAACTGTGCGCTCGTTAGAAAACGTGTCTGAGGCTTGGACGTCCTTTAATCTGCACACTGTAATAAAAATAGGAGCTTTAAAGCAGATAGAAATAACTGCAGGATGTTTGATGCTTGATCAAAGCTCCACAGGCAGCAGCTGGTAAATTTATCAGCTGTACTGTATTTGGAGCTCATCACACCAACACTGAGCCAACATGGCCTCCCTGTCAGGGGGCGGGGTTTGTGATGTCTTGGAAACATGTTCTTGTGTTGTTATCATTAGTTAGGACTTAGTTGAGTTTTAGTCCAGTTTGTGTCATCACCCGTGTCCCCTTGTGTCTCTCCTCTGTGTCCCTCTCTCGCTCCCTCTCTCTTGTGTCAAGCTTTCGTGTCCGAGTTCATGTCTCTCCATGCTTCCTGTTTTATTTTGAAAGTCCGTTGGCGTGGTGTTGTTGCAGACCTCTGCTCCACCAGGAGTCTACAGGAAAACTGATGTTCCATGTTCAGTGTGTTTAGCTTTGCTTCCCATGTGGCGTGATGTTCATTTGTGTCAGCTGTTTCCACTTCCCTCATTACCCTGCTGTATATTTAAGTCGTTCAGTGTCGGGTCATCTGTTTGTGTTGCTTCAGGTCACGTCAGGTCTTGGGGTTTTTTTGTGCTCCTGCTCA